TTACCTGGGAGAACAAAAACCCAGATATCACTCTGGATGGCAATGGCCTACCCTACATTTATTACTGTACTCATGTTCTTAGAAGGATACAGAACATAGTACATTCACTTATTGTACTGCTATACAAACGCTGTATCATTATTACCTTGATATACAGTAAATGAAGAAAACAGACAGCTATACATGAGACTGAGTGTGCACATAGTAAAAAAACAGGGAGTCCCTATACAAAACAATGCTCCTCACATGTATAAATCCAGAGGAAGGTGAACAATAATACGGTATGTTACATACAACAGCCAGTTAGATACTTTCTTTAATTTCCTAAAAGTGGCATCTGGAATCTGGTCGGTAAAAGACCTCTTCTTTATTTTCCTTTGTACACAAGAGGACTGTGATGGCAGCCACACTTTCAATTAGACTCTTAGCATTGCCTAGAGACATCATTTCTATTCTTCTTACCCTAACACCATATGTTTTATTTCTGTGAACAATTATTTTTTTTTTAAGTTTTGAATCTGTATACTACCCTATAATTTTCTTCAGCATGAACCCATTGCTGGTAAAATCTGATTTTCTAATAATGATGTGACAAGAAGGAGGGGAGCAGCAATGCTGCTGCTCAGTCATATATTTTAGTTCACACATTATCTCAATAACCTGTTCAATTGCATAATTAGAGGCTGTCCTGAATATCCCCTGCAATGAATCAAATAGGTTTTCATTTAGGTGAATAAGATCCTTTGAGCAGCGGAACAAGTTCGTGCATTGGCTGCTCACCCCTCTTCATTTGCTATGACATTGGAGGAGGGCTGGTGTATTGTACACCTCTTTCTGCACAGTGATTGCAGAGCATGCTGTTCCATTCAGCTCTGGCACCAGGATGTTTAACTAGGAATTAAGAGATGTATCAATGTCACCGTGTTATTGTTGAGCGCTCTATGACTCCAAAAGCAACTGCTGATTATTTTTACAGCCAGTTTAAATAAAAGTTACAAAACCACACAAAATATTTCAGGAAGGAATAACCTCCAGAAAATGTGATGGTTAGTAGTAGGGGTGATCTTGTTAACTAGTTTAGATTGTATATTTTTGTTTTCACTGAATGTACTATATAGATTATAACATTAAGAACAAGGGTTGAATAGAAAGCCACAAATTGTTCTCATCTACTAGTTGAAATCAGTGAGAACAGAAAATGCAGTGGTAACAACAGGTTTGTTAATTTGTGCTAGCAGAAACTGTACACTGTAACAGAATCCAATGTCAGAGAAGGCACACACATTCCAGCTGAAGAGGAACGCTCTAAAAAAGTGGTGGTCAAAATCCTTGATATATTGGGCATCAGGTGGGACCACTGACAACACCATAATGTCCAGTTAATTTTATTGCCAGAGTAATGCAGACATGGTCCAGGAGATGGTTTGAGACTGTAGACATGGTACAGGAGATGGTCAGAGACTGTAGACACAGTACAGGAGATGATCCGAGACTGCAGACAAGGTGCAGGAGATGGTGAGAGACTAATGACACAGTACAGGAAATGGTCAGAGACTATAAATATGGTACAGGAGATGGTCAGAGACTGCCGACATGGTACAGGAGATGGTCACATACTAGAGATCACTACTATTACAGCTTTTTCATGTCAATGCTTTCACATCTGTACTCCCTACAGCCCTCTTAAAAATCACTTTATATTTATTTTATTTATTTATTATAATTATTATTAATATTATTATGGGCTGTCATGGGGATGAATTAGGATATGATGTCTCCTTAAACTGATCTATTTAAGCTTGCCGTACACTGAAAAATCACTTGATGACAATGCTGCTGGCTATTGTATTTTGATAGCCAGTGCCCGCAGCAGGCAAAATACCCAAACAGTGAATGCAGCTGAATGGTTGACAATTTTCCACCCAGCTAGGGCCGGCAGTGGCACTCACAGATCAGATTCCAGCTGATTCAGCAGGAAATTACCAAATTCGATCAGTGTATAGCCAGCTTTACCCTCTAGTAGAGAGCACATTTTCAGTTTTATGAAGCAGCTACCAACCTCCTCACGTTTTGTACCCTGTGCCCTGCGTGACTTCCTATCCCAGAGCTTCAAAAAACTCTGGTTTTGACTAAAAATCCCATAACAAACCAAATGAGCATCAGTAATTTACAGTACACCCGTCATGCAAAAAATATGAAGGCTGCCATTGTGGACCTTCTGAAAATTCTAGTTTCCCTGCCATCTCTAGCTTTTATTCTTTCTAAGTCACTGGAACAAGTGTACATATAAGGAATTGTAGCTTCCCTGATCATCATATTTGTTCAGGGTCAATGACTAGTAGTAAAGCTAAAGAGTCGTCATAAAAAACAATCAGCTAGGCTTTTCAGAACGAGGTCATAAATGAAAGCTCCTGTCTCTAAGCATGTTTTTTTGTTTTTTAAGCTCCTGACAGTCTTTTCGTTATATTGGCAGCTGTGTATTGATAACTCAGGAAACAGGAAAACTAGATTAAAATGCCTTTGTATCATTTTTATTTGAAGTGCTTGATACTCTTATTAGACATCTTCTCCAGCCACATGTTTTTGTTTTTTTTAATTCTTGTGTGTTGCTGCCTAAGATCCTTAGAAAGAGTGACAGAATTACCAGCCAAGTTCCCCTACTGGCACTAGCCAAGATTACTTCCTGTGGACTGTGGTGCCTGTGGCTTTTTGAGTACCGTATTTGCTGGCGTATAAGACGGGTTTTTAGACCCAAAAACATCGCCCGAAAATCGGAGGTCATCTTATACGCCGGGTATAGTGTATGTAGCTTCGGCTACATACAGTATACCGCGCTGAGCCAATCACAGCAGGCTTTGTATTCATTAATACAAAGCCTGTATTAATGAATACAAAGCCTGCCGTGATAGGCTCAGCGCGGTATACTGTATGTAGCTGAAGGACGGAACCCGGAGGATGGAGGACACTGAAAAAAAAAGCTACATACAGTATACCGCGCTGAGCCAATCACAGCAGGCTTTGTATTCATTAATACAAAGCCTGTATTAATGAATACAAAGCCTGCCGTGATAGGCTCAGCGCGGTATACTGTATGTAGCTGAAGGACGGAACCCGGAAGATGGAGGACACTGACGGGATCGTGGGCAAGGTAAGAGACTGTAATCCTGAGTCTGGCTCGGGGTTACCGCTTATGGCACTGAAAATTAACCCCGAGCCACACTCGGGAATACAGCCATGGAGGTTAGTGAGTGCATTTAAACATTATTTTGGGCTATACTGGTCTTATATGACGAGTATAGCCCAAAACCTATATTTTAACACAAAAAGTGGGGGGTCGTCTTATACGCCGGCAAATACGGTACTTAATTCTTCTGACTGGAAGCCATTTAGCAATCTTAAGCTGGAATGCGTGTCTTATTTCTACACATGGACAGTAAATTTACACAGTAGCCACACTCTCTAGCTGCATGACAGTAACTTTTGTTTTCCTTATGTAATTTTTTTTTTTTAATTAACCTAAACTGCAGACAGCCCCTTCTTAGATTCAAACAAATCTCTTAAAATTATACGGTAGAAAAAACATCATAGTAGAAATCCACTGCATAAAGGCCCAACATTTGTTTTGGGTAAGTTTCTAACATGTGGCATATTCATTTCTCATCACCACCATAAATTTGAACAATACATTTCTTAGTTTTGATTTAATGTTTCATTGTTCAATCTATCTTGATTATCACAATTATGTGTATTATCCAAGCTGTAAATAATATCTGGCTCCATCATGCTCTGCTTCTTTAATATTATTTGTTTGTGTTATACTGAATGGAATAACGTTACTAACTCAAAAAAGTGCTCATACAATGCTGTTATATTGAATTTTAAGGAACCTGGAAATTCCAGCAAAACCAATAGCCATGTTGCCAACATTAAAATTGAACTCCAGGTAGAAACAAATCAAGTTGTGTATTCATTATGATATCATTAACTGTTCTTCTATAATTCTATTGCATTTGTATTACTATGAGTCAGTCAGGCCTCCCTTACTGTATACAGTGCTGTAAGTCTAACACTACTAAAATGATTTAAAGGGTTAGTTGAACTCTATGGAAAAATATCCTATGCTGTCCCTAAGCACCATTTCATAACTCTAAACTAATCACATTTTCAAATAAACATTTAAGCTGTTTCCATACCTGTAGGCCATTAACACAAGTAGTAAAACCTGCCCCCCAAAACCCTTGCAATGTCCAAAGCTCTACCCTCTCTACATTTTAGGATGGGCCTCTAGCAGTCTCGGATAGTGCACTGTCCTTCTTTCAATCCCCAGCACAATCCCTTGTTCGGCAGTGGTGCCTTTAAAACAATGCACATACATATACACAGCCTATCCAAAAAAAGTCACCAACTGGATTTAGCTAAGCAAATAGGTAAGAGCCTTACATGGGATTAGTGTTATGATCTGGGGTTGCTTCAGTTGGCCAGGTCTAGTTTCAGCAGCTTTTTGTCCCCACAAAATGAGGTCAGTTGTCTACCTGAATATACTGGATGACCATGTTTTCCCCATCAATGGATATTTTCTTCCCTAATGACACAGGCATATTCCAAGATGACAATGCATTGGGCTCAAATTGTGAAAGAGTGGTTCAGGGAGCATGAGACATCCTTTTCACATATGGATTGGCCACTGCAGAGTCCAGACCTTAACCCCATTGAGAATCTTTTGGATGTGCTGTAGAAGACTTATGCCGTGGTCCAACTCTCCCATCATCACAACAAGATCTTGGTGAAAAATGAATACAACTCTAGATGAAAATGTTGTGACCTTGAATAAGCTTATCGAAACATTGCAATGTCGAATGTACACTGTGATCAAAACTAAAGGTGGTCCTACTAAATAGAGTGTGTGACTTTTTTTTGGCCAGGCAATGTATTTATGCAGGAAAGCTTTTTCTACACCATGGTAGAACTTGTCTAGTGTATTATGAAAACATAGTACATACCAGTCTGCAACTCTAATTTTCACTTCTAGGAACAGGGCAAGGCCACTTTAAAATCCAGGTGCTGTACTCTCCCCTGTAACAAAAAAGATTAGCATGAACATCTGTTCAGGTTTCTAGCATGCAGTAGTTATTCAGTGATAAAGTCTAAATTCAGTTTATTATGAGTTTATTATACACAATTGTTTAAGGGGCATGTAAAGCCAAAACTTATTCTTTCAGTTTTGGATAGAATGTGGAAGAGTTAGAAACCCTAACAGGTTTATATTGCTGTGCATATCCCCATTGGGAAGATTTGCCCTCCCCAAGAGAAAGCTGGGATAGTGACAACTGTGGGACAACTGTGGGACAGGAAGTTATGGGGAATCTCCCCGATGCAACATAGACAGAGAACAAAATGACAGGAGTCTTAACTATTCCCTACTCTATTCAGAGCTAAAATAAAACGTTTGGGCTTTACATACATTTTAAGGCAAGGCTGGGCAACTCTGGCCCTCCAGTTGTGCTTTAACTCGAAATCTCAACATACCTCTGCCTCTGTGAGTCATGCTTGTAACTGTCAGGCTTGCAGTGTCTTATGGTACTTGTAGTTCCACAGCAGCTGGAGGGCTGGAGTTGCTTACTCCTGCTTTAAGGTGTTTATTTGGTCATCAAATAGTAGGGCAACAGGCAGGTTCTATGTGTGTTTTATACCTTCTCAAATACTTTACTATGGCTTTCTGCCAAATCATATGCACAATTTACCAGGGATAATTATCTTTACAGTTAATTCTGTACTTGTAATATTTATTCGATCTACAATAGGCTTACTATAGATGAAATGTAACAATATTGTGCAGAAGCCCAGTAGATTGTAGAATGTAAAGGACCTCTAAAGATAAATGCAATAGGGTTGATTTACTTAAGAAGAAAATACTTTTCGCTTAGCAAACTGAATGCTCCCTTTTAAAAATGTATGTTCACTTTTTAAAGTGAATGCTAGTAAATAAATGAATCATTTTTAAGTTAATGTGTGAGGGAAATTTAAAGCAGTACTCTGGGCAGAATTGTTCCACCACCACACTCCAAGGGTTAAGTGTTCATTTTTGCATAGTTTGTAAAACAAAAAGTTATGTTGACTCAATCACATTTGCCTGGAGTTCTGCTTTAAACCCCCCCCCCCCCCCAAAAAAAAAACAGGATTTTTGCTAGTTCATTATTGGTTCACACAGATTCATCCTATTTACTAAGCTCAGTGAACATTCACTTTGCTAAGTGAACAAATTCTATAACATTAGTGAATCAGAATCAAGGTCTGGATGTATGATGCGCAACACTCAAAACCTCAATTTTTCCTAGGTAAATTTATTTTATGTTTATGCTACAATTGTGGATTAAACACCAGTGGAAAATTGGTGGTTTTGACTCCTTTTATTCAGATCTCCAGCACTGTTCTGTGCCTGAACACTGGAGATCAATAGGTAACATAGCCAGAGCTGGAGTGAAGCTTGAGTTAGACTGTAGCATTAATTGGGACATGAAAAACCATACAGAAACAAAATACTTTAGTAAATCACTGCATGAACCCGTATTATTTACTTGGTGAAACAGTCTCTTTAAAGAAGTCTTATCACTACATTCTAAAAATGTTAGTTGAATCCCCCAAGGAATCGAGTGCATATATCATATAAGACTATAGCTTCATCTTTTAATAAACAAGTGTAAATTAAACGGGTTGGTGAATAGATATAAAATATTTAACTGTATGTGGAACAAATATCAGATTTCAGTATATTGATAAACTATATTTATAGCAATTTGCTATGTGACTAAGTTTTGGTGTTTTTATTTTGGTGACTGTATCATATAAGCAAAGATGGGAGTAGCATTGTTGAAATCAAATCAAAGCTTTATTGAGTAGACCCTTCTCAATTTACATATGGAGAAAGAATCTAGAGCTGGCAGGTCAATGCACTGAGTAGATTATACTATGAGGACAAGGGCTTCCTGTGAGTAATCTCTGTTTAGCTGTGCTTACTTATAAAAAATGTAAAACATGCCCTGCTCAAAGTTTCTTCCCATTTTTAGTACAGTTCCCAATGTGGTGAAAACACAAAGCTTATACAATGGTCTTGGTACATTACAGAAAGCAAAATGTTCACAAATGCTTGCTAAAACAGAAGTATGCACAGGTATAAAAGACCCAGCTGAACTCCAGTTATAAATTCATCAAAAATCTTTAAAGGAGAACTATGGGGGGAGTGAAATGCACTTATCCCTTAGTTTGAATCAACATGTGACACTGCAGCTGTAACACATTAGCTCTATAGATCGAGAACTGGGCAGTCAAAAACCACTGAACGTTCAAGTTCACGATTTTCTCCCTGCAGAAAGTGGTGACTGCCAGTCTCTGCTCCTCGCAGGGATTAACTCTCCCCTCTCCATTCCTCCAGCACTGACTGGAGGGACAGATGGGAGTGGGGGGGCACAGCTGGATCTGGCTCTAGAGAGGCAAAGCCAGCTGTCAATCAGGTAGCAGGGTGGATTCCAACAATATTCTCTAGATCCTTTCTGGTTGTAGCTTGGCTCTGTGCTGTCAGCACATAATGGACAATAGCCTGCAATATGCTGCGTTTTGGGTCACAGGAGGACAGTAAATGTCCTTCCGTGACACATGAGAGAACAAATGCCAAAAAAGGTTTGATAGATGTTGGAGGGTTAAACCACCTGACATTTTCTTTTATTGCATGGCGTCTGTGTTTGTAGGATTTAGAAGAAGCAAAAGTGGGCAGAGACACCCAAAACCCCCAAGTGCACAAAAAAAGGAGATGGGAGTGATGCTGGGGAGATCTTGCTGCTGGAGCGTCAACAATATAGAATCCCACCAGACTCCACCTATCAGTAGAATATAACTTTTGACTTGACTGACCCTTTAAATGTGTTTTCAAAGTAAATAATACCTCAATGGGGTCTATTCACAAAGCTGCCGAAGGATCTGGCCGTAGCTTCGGCCGATCCTTCGGCTAGCTTCGGCACCAGGACCCCTTCGGTTCAGGAGAACCGAATACATCAGCCTCCTGAAATTCCCTTCACAGTAGGACTCTGGGAAAAGAACCAGTCTGGTTCTACTACATTGCACAGTGCTTTCAGTCTGATACAGAGAACTTGCTGATAGGAGGAGATAGGATATCATCAACAATATTCGGCTAATTTTTCACTATCCAGCTTTTTGTTTACAG